TAGAGTTTTTCTTCTGCATCTATTTTAGCTACGGGGTGTGCGATGGACTTACCTCCACGTGGTGCACCCCGGATAACGTATACTCATACGGCAAAAAGTCTATTAACAGGCAGTAGACTTCTGACTGCAAACTGCCATGACCCCACTGTATGACATATTCGACCACTTTCACAGTACTACATCACATTTTTTACTAAATTTTCAACCTTCGTCTATGAAGCACTCTTCAGTTCCCCCTCCTCTCGACTTTTTTCACATTTATGTTCCTTCCCCTCTGTGAAGCCTGAAGTCAACTATAGGGCTAATGATAGCCATCAAAACGCCTGCCATTTGATATAAATAAATAAATAAAATTTATCTGTAGTAGACACTGTTTCTTAACTCGAAATTTCGGATAAATATTAGGTTTTGTTTAAGACACTGAAAATAACATTTTAAAGACAGCGGATACACTAGGGTTCTTTCAACACACGATCACAAATTTATTTCAGCCCTTCTTCTACTTTAAATATGCTTCATCTCTTCAATTATTTTTAAATAAAAAGACATCTTGTGACGCAGCTTTTCATGAAGGAGACAAAGAATGTCCAAAATATAAATAGTTGGGATAGGCCAGTGATTTAAATCAACTTATTGTCAAAGACAGTGGATTGGGGTGGGTAGGGTAGGCAGTAAATAATAAATGAATGTGATTTCTGGAGCTGTGGTCTTTACTAAGTGAACAGGTGTGAAATAACCCTCTAATTAATATTTAACGACAAGCCAAAGATCTAAGTTAAGGCATAATTTTTCTCCCCTTATATGGTAAATGACCATATAATAAATAAACGCTGGTCTCATTTAAGAGTTGACTACGCCTTATACCAACTAAATCGTTATTTAACTGACAGATGTTGGAGCAGAATTTGAGCCAAAATAATACTTTTTTAAATTAGTCGATCCAATTGAAGTGCCAAAAAGTTTTCTCCAAGTCAGAAATACATAAATTTAGCAGTTTTCTTCAATGAGTATGTTGAGAATACTCCAAGGAGGAAAGTATTCTCTAAAGAGAACTTCTTTATAATTCCCCTTGGAAAATGAAACGGGACATAATTGAGCAATCTCATTGTTATTATGTATCCAAAGGGAAGTGATTTGCCCCTGTTGAGTATATTTACGCTTTTTGAAGTCTTTCAACACTGTTTTTTATCAGATCTAAATTAATTCGATATTTTTCATAGATTCATTGCTAAAATGGAGTTACTTCAGTGAATTTAATTGTAAAATTCAGTTCTAGATACAATCACCATATTCCAAAGTAAAGACACCATTTTAAACTAAAGTGAAAGAGATTGATGGCTAATTGAGAAAGGAGACGAGCAATAGGAAATGATAGATTTGAAATGAAGTTCACCTAATTTGCACTCCAGTCAACTTTGTCATGTCAGCTATCATTATCTGCTTGTATCTCGACAGCTAGAAGAAAGTATCAGAGTGGTTGAGGCACAATTTGAAATACTTCTCTGACTTTGCAAAAAAAAAATAAAACGATTTATGAGAATTAAAACAACACGTTTTTATTTTAAAGTCCTACCGATTTACTGCATTTTCAATTAATTTCAGTATAGAGGCGTTGGCGATTAGATATGACATTTGAGTTGTGCATACTCTATATATTTGAGGTTAATGCTCCTTTTATCTATTAGCAAGAGGAAAATATAGCACTTGCCATTAATAGAAATGCCAACTTTAAGGAGAAATTGATTTCCAGTCGTTGAACTGGGTTATTAGAGCTCCAGTTAGTATTATATTGCCTTGTAAGAAATAAAAGTTTATTCAAGAATGTTTCAGCCTAGCCTTTACCAGATACGCAGATTGAAACAATAAATGTCAACGATATTGGAGAAACCTATTAATTCCTTTCTTTTATTTTTTTGAGCGATACTCAACATACTATACATTGATCTGTTCCTGAAATCAAAATCTATTTTGTTTTGACTTGAAAAAGTACACAAATGATATAAGAAAAGAAGTAGAAAACAATATTAGAATTTTGAAAGAAAATTTTCTTTTTTCTTTTCTGACAGTACTTTCATTACTTCTTCATTAGAGTTTACGGTTTCGTGTTCCGTTTTAGATTTTAATATGCTGTACACTGAGGTCTTGTTCTGTCAGACGCTTCTGGAGGCATGTTTTTCTAATTTTAACTTTTAAAACAAAAGCTTCCGCTGTCGTTAAATTATGAAAGTCTCCAGTAATGTAATTTAGAAGTAATTTTGTCAAGGCATAATAAATTCTACTCAACGTGATTAATTGACCTTCAAAGGAAGCCTATTAAAATTGCAGGTATGTAGGAGGAGAGAGCAGTGTGGCCTCAAAATGCTGACTCCAACACGATTTGAGCCCCTTGTGTAGTACATATTCCTGGTAAAATTTTTAAATACCTATTATTATTATTTTTAGCTCACGTTTCTGCCTCATTTGCATATACGAAACCGGAATTTAAACAAGGTGATTAAAAGTGTAATGCCCATCTTTTTCAACTATCTGGTTTATATGCAACATTAACTTAACTAATAAATTTCAACTTACCAAAACTTCTTTGAGGTTTGGAACACATATCCTTTAGTCCACACCTATGGACATATCTACTCCATACTTAAACGCACTGTGACTTTCATATTTCATATTGTTGTTGTAATTTCAATCAACAATGAATAGGATATTTGTAGCACAAAGCACCGCTAGTATTTGCTGGGAATCATAAATAACTTTACTTGCTTAAGTACATTCATATTCAACAAAAATATGCACTTATGAAAGTACTTAACAATTATTGCTTTAAACTTCGTCATCTAGAAATTGTAAATGATTGAGAGATTTAGATAGTTTCGAGGATAGAACAGCTTGCCTGTCAAAATGCTGACTTCAGCATAAGCGTACAGGTATGCATTGGCCAATCAGAGAAGAGCAAGGTATACACCGAGACCGAGTGTTTCGGTTGGCCAGACCAACTCACCACCGCCACCCCCTAGCATCGCGAGAGAGGGTGAACAACTAATGAGAGCTAGGGAGTGCGAACAAGAAAACACCTTTCACGCTAGACCCTAACCTGATTTATCAACTCCGTTGTGACTTATTTGTACCCATTCGGACTCCCTCTATTCTAACGTACGTAACCTCTTTATCAGGAGAGCTGAGATTAATCAACTGCATACTCATTTCATCTCCAAGGTGATTGCTCATTTAAACAATCACTTCAAATTGTACTTTGTATTTATTGCTTTGGTTTAAACAATTAAGTACATAGATTTTGCTCAAGCGCCAGAATAATATAGAAAAGAAGATTTGGAAAACTGAGGAATTTATATTTATACTGCTTTAGTAACAATGACGGCCAGTCATGTTGTAATCAACGAGGAACAAAGGCCTGAACGACAAAGGAGGTTCAGAAAATTAAAAACTCCAAAAATGCCGAAGGTCAAAATTCCGAGAAATAAGGTAAAAGAACACTCCTTCTATGTGAATTTCTATGTAATTAAATTTAATAAACTATTAATTAAATTACAAAAACCTTGGACTGAAATTTATAAATCTTTTGCTTTTTTAATTTCTTAACGACTTGCAGCCTGTTTGGCATAGCTAAATTCCGATTTTACTTCTCTATGAAACAGGTTTAAAACTCAAAAGGATGGAACATTATTTGAACCTAATATTTTAACTTCGCTGACATTATTTTAGTGCTGCAATTGGTTCCGAAAAGCGGATAATATTCAGTTGACACTAACAATCACCGCTGTTATACTCGGTTTGGTCATTGGCATTTCAGTTAAGTTCGCCCATCCGGATATTAGCCAACGCACGAAAACTCTAGTTTCATTCCCCGGAGATCTGCTGATGAATATGCTCAAGATGTTGATCATTCCTCTCATCACGTCAAGTCTTATCTCTGGTTCGTTCACTTACCTACCTAATTTTGAACCATTTTTTTTCTATGTGATATTGTCCTTTATTGGGAATAGGTCAATAATTAATAACGATATGGTATAACATTAGGATTCAATTAGTCTGTGTACAGAGAAATTAGAGTTAAAGCTATGCTACTAATAAGAACTTCCAGAATCTTTTCTTTAACGTGTTCCATTCACATATTGAATTCAAGTACAAATGCCTTCATGTCTTTTTAAAATGTATTTACCGAATTTTAAAAATTCATTCAAATATAAAAGTAACATAAAACCTTAATTATTAATGACTTAATTGATTATGGCTTTAATATAATCAGTTTTCCGAAACAAAGTTTGAAATAGATATATTTTAATTGGACCTAGGCGAAACATCTTGGAGAAATTCCTCAGTATAAAAAGGAAACTTAGATTTACAACTTTGATAATTTGGGGGGAAAAGTTTAAATTGGCATAGATCATTCAGTAATTAATCGTTCCTAAAATTCGGAAAGCCTCTTATTGTTCCCCTTCAAATTACAGAATAAAATTTTGGCTCTCATGGTAATCCTTGAAAATGCGTAACTTTCTCATGCATTTTGAAATTTGTTTTTCGCCACTTCTAAACATAGTTGTTTGCCAATAATGAATGTCTATAGCATTGTTTTTGAGCTAACCGTATGCTCCTGTGGCAATGAAATGGTGGAGAGGAACACCACTTAATTCAATTTAAGTAAGTACTATTCTAATGGAATGAGAGCACGAAAGTTATGACCCAAGCTTTTACCCCACTGTAAATACGTAAATAAAAACATCGGAGATCTTACACTTAAATGTACTTACTAAAATGATTACTTTAGAATTCTGTGTTTTTGTATGCTTCACATCAAACGCAATTGTGAAAAGCATTAGTATAGTATAGAAAATTACGGTTCGTAGAAAACGAAACGTAATGTCAGGCTTCAGTTGAGTAAAATTGCTTTCAGTAATTTTTCAAATGTTATCAAATGATGAAGTTTGGTTGGGAAAAACACACTGTTAGCGAATCACAGCACGGATTTAGACATTTCAACTTTTGAAATAGGAGTGATTGCATCTTAAAATCTAAATCTGCACAATGAGAAATGTGCTTTTCCTTCTACTTAGAAGTGGCTTACAAATTATGAGCCGGTTAGCGCAAATATTCGTTCATAGTATCACCATCTAGTCATCAGAAACGGGAAAAGTCACGAAACTCAACTGAAACTTCTCTCTCAACATTAAAAGCGCAATATTTTTCTGCCAAATATATACACATTATTTGTTTCTATTCTAATGAAATTTATTGAGTACATTTGCTAACCCATAGGACTGTAGATCTGCAATTACCGCTATTTACAAGATGAATATTGATTAAATTTTACCATAATCAATCATCGACGCACCTACTTACCATAATTCAAATGATAAAATGTGACCGTTTTAGGCCTCGCCAATCTGGACACGAAATCATGCGGAAAAATTGGCACCTATGCATTGATTTACTACTTTACCACCACTCTGATGGCAGTTGTTCTTGGTATTATACTCGTGGTTGCCATTCATCCTGGAAATCCATCAATTAAGGAGAATCTTGTGAGTAGCAGCGGTACGAAAAACACGGAAAACAGTCCGCATACACTCGATGCTTTTTTGGATCTCTTCAGGTATTTAATATCCTTGGCTACTATCTTAGTTGATTTGATTGCTCTGAATGAAAGCACCTAAAGGGGCTCAAATGGTGTCAGAGAGTTGTTTTCAGAGTTTGAAAACAATTTTGCATTACAATTTATTTGTAATGTGTGTCCTAAAGGATAAGATGTGCAATAGGCTAGAGTCTATGTTGACCAAACATCACCTCAGTGGAATAGAAGAAGAGTGAATAAGTGGTGGGAAGAGGAATGAGGAATACGAGGGTTCAACGAAATCCGTGAAACCTCGGATGTGTTAAAAAAGGTTCACTGAGGGATGAAAGAAGAGCGGTTAATTTTAATCGCGCAATTTGAATTTTATTTTTGTTTGGGGTGCTTAACTCTATTGAGCTGAAATATTTTCAAGTTTAAGCACTTTACGCAAGGTGAATTGTCCAACACCTTTAATTTGTGTGAAACGTTAATGCTTCACCCAAATACAATAAAAAAGACTGTTTTAAATAAATTTCATAAAAGTTACTAGTTGGAAATATTGCAATAAACGAATGGGCTTAGATATACTCATCCTTGGACTCGTATTGCGTGAGCAAATGGCATTATCAAGATTTCTAGGTGACACGGTTGACTTCTACCAACCTCCACATTGACTATTCTTAGCCAATATGCTTGGTTATTTTGCCAATAGGGTATCGAACTCTTAGCCTCTTGGTTTTACAGATGACCACATCAACCAAAAAGCGTCTCATTCATTAAAATAATTATTTTTCAAGTACTGAAAATAGTCAGACGGAGTATTTTAAGACGAACAGTGAAATACCAACTTTCCTTTTAGAAATATGTTCCCGGAAAATATAATCAAAGCATGTACCAAGCAGGCATCAACTAAACTGGTGAATGCAACTGTGAGAAGAAGGTCACCAGTAGGTTTTCACATTTTCAATGAAATACAAATTAGTGTTGGTTTTTTCTAACTAGAGTGTCATCATGATTTTTTATACTATATTCCAGGATAATGCATCTGAATTCATTGAATATATTGAGGAAAAGGCAATGATTGAATACAAGGACAACACCAATGTCATGGGTGAGTAATATTCACTCGTTATGTCGTGAATTTAGATGATCAGACAAGCAATAGTAATAGAGATTAGAATAGCTACAATGCCTATATTTATTTGTACGCCAATACAAGCTCAAATCAAAATTGATCATATATATATTTGTTTCATTATACTTCGTTTCTTCATTTTCATTAAGCGAAGTCAAGAAATTGCTTATTAAATTAGATAGTACACTTCTTATTATAAGTTCAACAGTAGCAAAAAAACTTGATTCCAGTATTATTTTATGCAAACACGAATCAAATTAAATTCTTGTTATTTCCCTTAAGCAGATTTAATCTTTGAAGTGCGAGTCTTAGACTGCGTAAAAGAGAAAAAATTTCCTAGCCCACTTTAAAATGTTTATTTTTCGATTATCCTCACTGATAGTGGACAGAATCAAAGATGGAAAGTTCTTTCGCATCCTTATATAACCATGAACAGTTGTTATGCACTTGAATTTCAATTATATCAATATATATTTATTTCATGGACTAAATTAAAATGCGAATTTTAAGGCAAAGGCCGGTGAATGGAATAGCTAAAATCACTGGTTAAATCTCACCGAAATGGGGGTTTGAAGTAGTTCAATATGGAACTCATTAAGAGAGTTAAAGTTTACTTCAATTCACAAGTTAGCATAAAAATTAATTAAAAGGTATTATTAACCTTATTAAAAGTTAATTTTATTTAGATTGCAAGAAAAACCAATGAACAATCAAATTGGCTTAATTTAGCTAAATAAAGTTATGAAGTTGAAAAATTGTAATCCAATATTTTTTCTGAAATTTCAGTCAAGAAAGATTATATATAAGAAGGTCAATCCTATTTACCATTTACAATTTCGATCATTAAATATATACTCCTTGTATTGGAAACCACATGTAATATCTGGGAAGTTCTGGAAAGAACATGCTTATTAGGGGACCCGTAACTTAAGCAGACGAGATATAATTGCCTAAAATTATCAAATTACTACCTCAAATACATTTTTTTCATTCGATCAGATACCACATCCCACTTCTCAATTACAATCTGTTCTTAATTTGATTCAATGAAATTCGATAAAGATGTTCATTATAAGATAAAAATCAAATACGTTGTCAATTATCTCATACGTAATATTTAAGAAAAGAACTAAAATCGTTTTGAATCAATGAAATAATTTAAAGGCACCAAGACATTGTTATCAAATTTTCCGATTCTATATGTCACTTTAACCATTAGAAATGGAACCAGTGAATGAGCACATAGCCACATTAAAAAGCAAGAGAAGAACAAATACGAAGTTACTTAGAAGAAAATATTTGAAATATAAGAATCTTTCTAATCTTTAAAAACAAAATTTAACAAGAAACGTCAGTAAACAAACGACAAAATATTTTATAATTGAAAGATTTGAATTTGTACAATGTAATCTTTTACATTTTAAAGGAAATAAACTTAAAAAGAAACTTTCATTATTACATGATTTTCTCACTATTTGGAAAAATCAAAGGGAAAATTAAGTATATTTTAGCATTTGTAGATAAAAAAGTCTAGAGTAATTGTATAAGATTTGCATTTTTCCAATTTTATCGTCATTTTCCACTAAACTTAACTCTTAGTCGTTATAAGTCCCACTTTTCCATTGTTTTAAAGATTTCATTAAATTGAAGATGGACTTGTGAATTGCATGAGTTTTCATCGGTTCTTCAAGATTCTACTTTTATTTACAAAGAATCAGTGAATTTGTGTGACGCAAATTGCACTACGTCTTCAGAATATTAATTTATTTCATTCATTATTTGAAAACCGATTGAATTTCAAAATTTAAACTAAAATCCGACAAAGGAACATTCAACTGAAAAGTTCCAGTTGGAAGAGTAATTGAATGAATGGTAGAAAAAATAATTATATCCTTCTTTAAAAATTTTGAATTATTGTTGATGATTATCTAAATTACCATTTCTACTCGCCTTGGCTTTATTTATAACAATACACCTTTTAAAAATACCTTCTGTAACTTACCCACAGAGCTCAATTTTTCTGAATATTTGTAAATGTAATGGCACCCTTTTGAGTAAGTACTCCATTTTACGTACCAATGCACTGTCAAAATGATTGACAGCAAAAAACAACTCGTTATGCATTTAAATATATTTTGAATATTGAAGTCTGCACAACATATAAGCAATTTGTAGAATATGCATGCTTTGATTTATAAAAAGTGCTCAGAAATTTCTGCAGCATATCGACTGTATTTCAGAAAGAAGGGCTTTCGGAACATACCAATTAAGGGAATTTTTTATGAAAAAGCAATGTTTTCTTAACAATGGTCGTCTAAACCACTATCTTCTCAAATATTAACTTCATTGACCTTTAAAACGTACTTATATAAAGCAACGACCAAAACCGATTCCGTACTATATGCAAAACACTTTCTAATTGATAAATCGATTTATTTTAAGTGATGTTTAAATAAAAAGGAATTAAAAGTAAAGGTAACCGAATGGTGGAAATAAAGAGTAATACGACGTAATATTTTATTTTCATGTATTTAAAAAGTTAAATTTCCACCAGATACCGACTTACTTGTCACCTTTCGATTTCTCTATATTTCATTCTCACAAAACAATCAAAAGTGCTCTGTCGTTCAGACAACTCAACTTCCTCCCTTTGCTCTATAGGTCTAGTTACCTTCTCAATTGCTTTTGGTCTTGGAATCGCTTCAATGGGCAAACAGGGTCGACTTATGCTGGACTTCTTCATCATTATGAATGAAATTATCATGAGGCTTGTTCGTGTTATCATGTGGTAAGAAGTGGATTTAAATTTCTAATGTTGGTTGACACTTCAAGTCAAAATAGGTTTTAGATAAAATATTCTGTAAAAAATAGGGTATTGTTGTATCAGAACAGCTCTTGGTAACAGTTTTCTCATAGACTTTTTAATTTTCATACCATTTTTGTTTATAAATTCAAGTTTTCCTGTTTTATGTTGTTTTTTTTCCAAACAGGTACGCTCCAGTCGGTATCACATTCTTGATTATTGGCCAAATAATCGCGATTGATGATTTGATGAGCACTGTGAAAGGTCTGGGTCTGTACATGCTGACAGTCATTACTGGTCTCTTCATTCATCTCTTCTTTACCCTCATGTTGATGTACTTTATAATATGCCGAAAAAATCCACTGGTCTACATGCACGGTCTATTTCAAGCCTTTTTCATGGCTCTCGGAACGGGTTCCAGTTCAGCTACTCTTCCAGTCACCTTCAAGTATGATTCTATTTCAATTTTAAGAATTTTTTTCATTTCATTTGGCACCTTTTTTAATCATGTGGCTAAAGGAAATATTTATTTCAGATTAAGCAGTCTAATAGAATTGACTCAATGGATAATTTTGACGTAGAAGTCAAGAAATGTTTTCATTCAATTGGTTATTCATTCATTTTCAAATAATGAAATAGTTAAGTTAGTGGGATCACAAATTAATTGCCATGGTATTTATGAATAAACTATTCCAAACAGCCATTACTTTCGAATATGTTTTATACTATGGGAGATTTTTAACTTTTGCATAAGACGTTACGCCTTTCCTTATATTTTGCAAATTAATTAGAATTAATTGCAATACTTTTTCTGTGAGAATTGATCTGAACAATGGATAAACAAAATAACATTATTGCGACTCAAAAGTTGGACACTGAGTAAAGATTATTATGGGAATTGCGTGTAGCCAAACTTCATAATTTAATTTCGATTTCAAGTGGCACACCTATCATTTAACAAAGCAAAATTCTTTATTTGTCGTGTGGTTTCCACAGAAATTCATGTTTGGGATCCATAGTGCTTATTATTGTAGAAGTGGAGTGGAATCTTTTATTTCCAAAAACGAATTTTAAGTATTGCAGCCTCATTTATCTAAAGTAAAAGAAAAATTTAAAAAAATCTATTTACTCATATTATCATACCAGTTATTGGTGATTATGCGTGAAATACTAACTTTACATCCATTTAAAAATCGCTTTGTTTCTAAGGCCAGTGAAAGTCTCATTGTCTTAGCCAGTCATTTGAAAGATTTTATTCCATTTGAGCAGCTTTATCTACGATATCTTGTTTCCTAAGGTATTGAATGGACAGATCCCTCGTCACGGATAAAGATTGAATAAAAAGGAAGCTTATCTCGAATTTAGGTATTAATAATGCTCCCCAGAGAGGCAAGTTTTAAGCTCAATAAAAGACCTCACCAATTGATCAAAATGAGATATGGATTTAACTTTAACTTATAGAGGATTCAGCTCAAATTTCCTGTACTTCCTAAAATTTTACCCATAATTCAGCCTCATGTTCAATTCAATTACCTGAAAACAATATTTTTTAATAGATCGGTAAAGATGAGACGAAATATACCATTCTTGTTCTCTTGGACTAAATTTTGACATTGGATTAATGGCGTTTTAACAGAAGAATTTTATTTTATTTCAACTTAAGGTACACATATGCTGGCAATCTCCTAACAGAAATGGAAATGTCACGGAATTCTTAAAGTTTGGCGCCCAAACCGTAACGCCCTTACATAAATATCTTCGAAATCCTCTATCACTATAAAACTAACAATCTGAAATGGATTTTTTTAATTAACGACATACTTTATATTCATTGAAGTCAGTAACCACACAACCGCAGAAATAGGGAAACCACCACGTTTATTATATGCAATTAAACAAGAAGAATGACTCGGAAATAGCAATATCGGATATCCTCTACCATCTAATATATACTAACAAATGAATTGTGATTAATCGCGAATTTATGCTACATAATATTTTAACTAATTTAAGAGGATAAAAAGAAGTTGAACCTTTGTTTCACCTATTTTCCTAAACCATTTCCAACCGGGAATAGAATTTGGAAGATAGCGCTCTCATTAAACTTAAGGTCAACATTATCACTTTTAACATAAACCATATAGAAATAATTCTTTTAGATTCGTCCATTGTAAAGTTAGTGAGGTAATCGACTCTGTAGTTAGTCAAAAATACCACAAATTTCATTAATTGACAAAATTAACTGGATTCGGACACTATGGAAGTCATGGAAAAATTATGCCATTACCAAAGTCAAATAGACTATTCTCATCAAATTCTAATTAGCCGCAGATCTGTTTTGCTTTTCTGATTTGTTGATATACGTTCGTGTTAGCTCAAAAGAAGACTAGCTTTATCAAAGATTAGGAAACGCTGAAAATGTCTTGAATGCAGAGTTATATTTTATCTTTCCAAAAGAACATTAATGATTGAGTTCTCCCCATTCTGCTAATCAACAAGAGCTCATTTTTAGGACTTGCTTTAAGCAAAGGTATACAAACATTTCTTTTATATAAGTAAACCTCTTCAAATTAGTCAAATGGAAGGCGAAATGTCCCTGAAAAATGTATGTTTTTTCGCACAACACAGAAATCCTACAAAGATCCACTTCGAATCAATTATTTTAATTTCATTTTAGGCTGCATCTCTTCACACAGAAACTTTTAGGTGCCATTTCCCACCCCCTCCCACCCCATTTCCCTTGGCCCGTCCTCACACTGCCAAACACGATTAGATTAATTAATTGAAAGGGAGTCAGTCAAATATTTTGACATTTTTTTTATCCACCCCTAAATAGACATTTTTTCCGTTTTGATTCAAATGAAAAATTTTGCTGACCTTTTAAAATGACTTATCTAGGGAAATTGTCGCAATTGAAGAGACCTAATTTTAGATAGCAAAAAAATGCATATAATTAATTAGCCTTATTACTCGTTAATGGCTCCATAATAATAAAGTAATTTATTTCCTAGATGCCTGGAGGGGAACCTGGGAATTGATGCTCGTGTGACACGTTTTGTGTTGCCCATCGGTGCCACGGTTAACATGGATGGCACGGCTCTTTACGAGGCTGTAGCCTGCATTTTCATTGCCCAAATTAATGATTTCAATCTCTCCATTGGTCAATTGGTCACTATCAGGTATGTATAATGCATGTTTTGTGATTCTGATCAGTCAATGTTTCTATTTAATTTTATTTAATCCATTCGAACAGGAAATGCCCTATGCATTTTTGCAATGGGAGTTCATGTATCTTTTAATAACGGGGGTAGAGAAAGGTAAATTGAAGAATTTCTATAGTATATGCAAGTTTTCTGCATATAAGCATTTTTAATAAACCTTCCAAAACCGTGATTCTTGGAAGGTTAGCACTTGAAAATTGAACTACGTGGTGGTTTTCTACAGCACGCATTTTCCTTCAATCGTATTATTATTTTGTCCCTTATTTTGTGACTGAGTAACTTTGATTAGACGAGTGCAGCAGATTGGCTAATGCAGCCACTGCCCTAGCTTTTTGGAGGCACTTAGCGTCAGTCTGTGTGCGATAAGGAGATGTTTTATTATTATTATTATGCCCATATTGCATGGAGGTTTTTAGCTAAGGCGTTTTTATTATAGCAAAACACATTAGAGCTCACTCAAGGTTAGCACAAATTCTAGTTTTTATCACTTTGCTCATTTTCTTTCCGGCTACATAGAGGTTAACACAACACTAAATTTCTCACGTATAGGTGCTTAGATTTTAATTCACTCAGTTATTTAAACCAAAGTAGATTCTTTAGGGGGCACAGAATAAAACTAGTCTCCCCCTCGAACAACAAAAGGTGGGAATATTAGTTGTAGGGAGTGCCCGATTGTACCAGGGAAAGTGTTCACTAGAGAAATGCCAAAATGAAACCTTTATTAGTACAGAGGATTCTTTGAGTTGCGGTTCTTTTGTAAATGGGCATTTCATGACGTTCATTTTACGTCCCTCATTTGGGTGATTGCCTATATTTCTAACTGAAAATAATTTGTGATCTATGGGGATGCAGCATTTTTACTTAATTAATATGCGAAGTAAGACACTTTCCTGATAAGAGTTTATTTCTTTCTAATGTTAGTTATCGATTTAAATTTTTTAATTTCTATGAATTTTTCCCACGATCCGATCAGATTTCCATTTCTATTAATTACGTATGTCCACGAAGAAAAGCTTTTGCATTTTGAACCACAATAAGGAGTTGAGGAATTTCCAAGCAAGATTCAGCGCAATTGGGTTTTGTCAAAAACAATAGTTAAGCCCGTAAAGTAAGAAGAGAGTTTTGTCAGATTTTTTAAAGATAAAGCGCCCCGTTCAGCTCCTCATTCGTATGCTGTGGTAATCCGGTAGCTTAATCTGTTTCAAAACATTTTCATACAATTGGAAATAACCGACCGGAAAGAAGAAAACGAGGAAAGACAGAAATAACAAAAATACTTGAATATTCTAAATTTTAATTTCCGGGTGCAAACAATCGATATTTAAATATAAAAGTGAACATTCTTTGTTAGAAATGAATATTTACAGTTTAACAGTAATAATTTGTCATTTAAACATCAGGATGGGCGGACATCCATTACAAATTTTGAAATCAATGATAGAGTTCTCAATTAAATTACACTATATAATTGTTTTTCGAATTGAAAACATGTTTGGCCCGGAATGTCCTGATATAGACGCATGCTCTTCCATACCGGTGCGGTTCTTATTATAGTTTTGGGTGTTTTAAAAAATTTATCATTTTAATGGTTTGCAATTAAAGTACGAAATGGATTATTGAACAACTTTGCTTATTATTTGCACTACTATATGGACACATTCATATGCCTATTTTGAATCCAAGAAAACACAGTAAACTGAGGAGAACAATTTACTGTAAATTTTGGAAAGAAGCTCTACTAATATAAGCTAGAAACGAATGTCCAAGCTTTTAAAAGCTAACCCTAAGGAATTTCAGAGCTCTATTCGTTGTCTACTAGAATTCGGAAGCTAAGCATCTTGTGTCTAATTCATGCATTCGATGGCATTTTCATGCGAAAGGATGTATTAACAAATGTTTAAAGTTACCATTTAAAAGCATTTGCTTGTTAATCTACGGAAAAAACACGACGCATTCCTTAGATATCTGTTGATGTAGAACTCAATGAACTTTCGATCTATTTTAATCTTAAGAAACTGGCAACTTTCAGTGTCATTTCTTTCACTCTCAATCATCTTTCGCTCAGACTATTCGGAGACATTAGACTTGGAGTCGTAAAAGGAGGATTGAAAACTTTTCTTAAAACTTTGTTTAACATTTCCTTCCTTCTGCTGCATTATATAACTAAGTCTCCATCATTTGGGAACTCGATAGCTCAGTGGGATTACAATTCTTTTTCTAGATTGTTATTCAAAGTGAAAAATGAGTCAGAACGATACAAAAACGGCAATTTAACATATTCTTAAATGATAAAATTCTTCATAGTTCCCGATTAGTTTATGCACTTCCGTTTGACAGTCTTGGCTTTGTTTACCAAGCCAGGCCATTTTATTAACTTTTTGTATATAATCAGGAATTAAACGGAGTCTATTTTTCAGCATAACAGCTACGTTAGCCGCAATAGGAGCAGCGTCAGTACCAAGTGCTGGTCTGGTTACTATGGTGATGGTGCTTACATCTGTCGGTCTTCCTATAGATGATATTGCTCTCATTATCGCCGTTGACTGGATGCTGTAAGTCTTCTTATTTAATTAACAGGTCATTTCCTGTAGTCTAATAAAAAATTGGTAAAATTGGGACACAATGTAGAAGCTTTAAATATTAAGTGTCATTGTCTCAAATTTTACGATATTTATATACTCATGAGAAATATCGTTTATTACTTTTGCAAATTCAAATCAGAAATATGTACATTTTGCTGCATCCAATGACCAAGCTTATCTCGCATTTCTAGATGCTCTTAATTGTGAATTGGGCTAAAAAATGTTAGTTAGATACTTTTTGCAATTAAAGAGATAGAGATAACGAGTTGACGCAATTAGGCGTTCAATTTCTCCACAGAACAATAAAATCTCTCCTGGAAACAGTGAACATATCACAGAAATTGAAACTTGGAAGCAAGTTAGCATGCGCCAATGAATAATATCTAGCCTGTAAATTGTGGACGAAACGCGTACTTAGAAAATCGGATGCCTTGCGATTCTTTTGATATCCTTTCTTTCTTCTGCACTTATACTCAAACTCTCACTCAAGTAAATAGGATTTTTGGATAGAATACTGTTTGGGATAATTTCTCATGAATCAAATTGTAATTTTTTTGCTTACTCTTTAGAAATTACGAGGATTTTATATGAAATAAAATAAAAGGTCAAAGTATGAAAGCGACCTTTAAAAATAAAACTTTGTTCTTTCCACTTAATAATGTAATTAACTTTGGCTGATGGAAAGCAATGCATTCTAGTTTGTAATAATTTAAATATTGAATAATTTTGATATAATCTCTTTGTCTCAATCGCACATTTAAAGAACAATATAAGTAAATGACCTAATCAAACCTTGCCTATTCAGCTAGGGAACTTGAAATTCCTGACCTATGTTGCTTGAAAGTGTGAATATAGGTGTTCATCTATTGAAAAATTTATTTTCATATTTGATCTTCATGAATTAGTGTTAAATTATAGATAGATGTTCCAAAAACTAAGATTTATAACTTTAATCTATGTTGATATAACACCGTCACTAATCCAAGTTACTTTCTCCGAGAGTCAACTTATTTTTTTCCAAAGACAGGACACTAAGTCAAAGGAACGCTAATCTAGTAGCTATGCTCAAAGCTAGTAAATAGTTTGAATTAAGTAGTATATGTGAGTTATTCATGACTTGTAGCACAATGATTGCGTGATTAGTCTGTCTTATAGAAATCATAATGATGCTCTTTTCTAACACAGGGACCGAATCCGCACGTCAATTAATGTGATGGGTGACGCGTTTGGCGCAGGCATAGTGGCCCATCTCTGTCGTGACCAACTTCTAGTACCAGCCAAGCGTCTAAACAGTATTAGCGTTGCTGTTCCTCATACAAAGTGGAATGACGCGGATCCGGAAAGCGCCGACGAATTAGATGATCTTACCAACGATCCTTGTCAGAATATTCCCCTGGAAATTGTGGAAGCTACTTCTCAACGGGAATAGAAAAATGTGTTGAATTGTTCCGAAATACTAATCATCATCACACCTGATTACATGTCTACTCTATAATATAAATACCACTCTCTATCTCTCTTCATCGATTAGCATTTCGAGCTCAAAGTATTTTGTCCAAGTGTGTGACTCCTAAGATTCCATTTATTGTATTCACTCATACTGCGTACAATTCGAATAAATAAATTATTGAATTATAATCTAACAAAATAGTATGTTTTAACAGTCAAAATTGTTTTAATTTTTCTTCCAAAATAAAGGAATATACAAATAGAGAGAGAGAGAAGTAATAAGCATCATTTTGAATCACTTCCGACTTTTACGAAATAACTTAATTTCAATAAATTGAGAACAAATATATTCTTGAATTTCTGTTAATACACAAAATTTATTGATCTGCTATGTAAGTTAACTCAATTCCCAAGGTAAAGATTCAATAGAGTGATATTATTTTTGCTCACAATGACAGGAAAGATTGGTTCTTGAGATACTTTTTGTCGCAAATGTCATTCCTCAAAAATCATAGTAGAGGGGATTTCTATACTCGTGCATTATTTTTATATAAGATAAAGGAGTTACATTAATTAAATTATGTAAAAGATTCTTCAAAATGCCACCAGTAAGTTAAGGCCACCAAAGTGCCATACTGATGGTGGAATCTACTTCCTGCCATCCAAGTAAATTGACACATAAACTCGACGGTTAGTATTTTTTAATTTAGAAAATGTTTATCAATTCGTGATTCCGTATGCTTGACATATTATTCTATTTTAGGACAAATATAAGATGTCATTTTATTAGGAAAATTCAAAATTGTTAATGCACTTTCCCAAAAAAATTGTTTATTTTTCCACAAATAAAGAAACATATATTTGGGGAGTAAAAGTCGACCCTGAATTTACTTTAGCAATGATTGAAACAATGTCAACGTGAATTTTCATGCAAGTTCAATTGATTAATTACTTCTCTTATTTGTCAATCTATCAGCAGTTTTGTAAACTCTAAAGTGGTCGAAATCTGCTCAAAGTTACCACTGGAAAGCTTTAATATAACAAAGTAATTATGCTACTGGTATTAGTGAATATGAATTATTAATCTTCCAACAATTCCACTTGATAGATGAAGAATGATATTTTTCAATGTTGTAAAAGATTGAAATGGAATTTGATTAATCTGAAAATAAATGTCGTCTTTACATTCGGAAAGACAAAAGCCCTGGCGTGAAAAGGGAGTGATCTGATTGGATGGGAAGGTCCACTCCACCATTTGAAATCGCGAAAGGATGCGTGCAGTCATTGATCATGCTGGTTCACTATTTAATGCCTGAAAAAATAAGACAGATGGCGCAAAGCTGTAAGTGTTGAACTAAAATCATGCGAAGTGGGACCCGAGTTGTTCGTTGGGCAATTCCATGGAAAATAAAAAACCTTCGAAAAGGGTAAATAATTATGTAGAATGTATTTTGATCTTTTTGAAAATGAATGCTAGTAAAAATCCAATGATTCTACTGCTTTTAACGCCAATAGCAACTTAAGCGTTAAGCAATGGAGAGGTGATTTGCTTTTTGAATGCTGTTACAATTACTTATAAATGATAATCACCTACTTTTTTGTGATTTGAAATCTGTGGCTGGTTGTTATAAAATGATTCACAAGTGGGGGAGGTCCCGTCTTCTGTACCATAAAGAAAATTATATTGAGAGCCTTCGAGGGCGTCACGTGATGTTCAGTGGCCATTTTGTGTCATATGTGCATTGTTCAATGTTGCGTTGTCACTTGCCAATTAGCGGCAGTGAATGCATGTTATGTCGAATACCGTTTTCAAGCAAACCAAAAAATGTTTATTTTGTTACAAATCGCTTGAAGCGCCAAATGAAATGTTCAGCGCAAAATATCCGACGAAACTTGTTCCTGTTAAAAGTGCTGTCCAGAAAGTGTTTGTAGTGCCTGGAGTTGCAAGTTCAGTCACAATGCCAAGCATAACCGTGTGCATTGGATCTGTTCGCCGAAATGAATTCAGCATTTTCGCGATTCTGCTAAGAATTTGATGGACGTCAATTCGACCTTTTAACCTCACACCGGCCGAACGTCATGACAGAATATGCTATTATGAATTGCAATTAACTGACATCCTTGAAGGAAACAATCTTTGTTTTGAAATTCTTCTTTTATCCATATGCCTAATTCTGCTCTTCGGTTTATTTTAATCTATTAAAGAAATTCCACCGTACACAGGGGTTTTGAAAACATCGAATATGCATATATAGTTTTTAATAATTGATCCTATATAGTTTTAACAAGTTGGAAACTATTGTTACAACTTGGTGGGAGATGGGTTTATTTTGGTTATAAAAGCCACAATAATTTACGTTTATTTGGTTGTCTAGCACTAAAAACATTGCGGATATCAGCCCATTCCGAATAAGAAAATTGGTTTAATTCTTAAATCTACCAATTTTTCGTACTAATGACTACTACGTGTCAACTAAGTTAGACTATTTTAAACCTCCAATTAAATTTCTCACTTCAAATCACCCACCACCTTCTGTCCGCTTTGACTTGGCGTAAAATGCTAATTATTGGAACGTTTAAAGAGTGTCAGGCTAGTAAAATATTATTTGGAAGTCTGAAATATGATTTAAAAATAATTTGTGGGAAGAAAACAATCAAAATGAGTATTTTGATGACTTAAACATATTGACCATCCATGCGATATGACCAAAGTAGGTATCATCAATGACAACATGATCAAATTTGGATTCACACACCAATAAGTACTTATTCATGGCATGATCTGAATGTTTGCGCTAATCCTGTGGGCGCATTATTTCAGTTAGTTACATAGCACTAGACTAGTATAACATGCTTATTACAAACTAGCTGTTGGTGTTTAGAAACTGTTAGAGGGGCAACCAAACTCAAAAAGGAATCATTTAAACTTCTCTCTTACAAAGCAGTCTTAGGAAACAACTTCATGATCTCCGTGATTCCGTGTTGTCCAGTCTTCACATTCTATATGACACATTAGAAAATGCCCTCCTATTATTTTTCTAATCCTAACCATCTTAGCTTTGCTCTTACATGTGCCTATTATGGATGGAATCGACACTCACAATCCATTATTTTCGAATATTGTTAAAGAGTAAACCTAGAAGAAATCATTATTTTTAATTTGGTAACCCAAAATTGCTTATAGAAACTGACAACTAAAACAATATAAATTAATGTTAAACATACTTTACAACAGGTAGGTGGAAAGTAGAAACGAAAAGAAGGAATTTAGTCACATACTTCCTTATTTTCAGCAAGAAATCATCAAATATCTTTTTTTGAATATCATCGAGTAAGTTATATTTTGGTTGTCTGGGAATTGCCGTTAATATTGATCGTAGCCAATCTAGCTCCACCAATACATCTTGATCTTCCATATATACTGAATTTCCAAATACTTGCCGTCATTAGACCCGTATAGTGGTTTTTAGTTACTCCAGCATGCTTGCCAAATATTTAAGATCTGTCCATAAGAAGACAATATATCCAAAATCTACAATTGGAGGTTTTCCTACAGTCATTTCCAGCGCATGGTAAAGCATTTTGAACTAACTCAAAATGTATACCTTGTATACTAACATGAGCTATTTGGAAAATGACAAGGGAAAGGAAAATTCTAGAAATTCACTTAATTTATCATATCAAACATTGGTTGAGCAGAAGAAAATATTAAAGAATTTGAATGGTTTTGGAAAATAATAATATTGGAGCCGAGTCATTAATAGTTCAGATCTTGATTGCGCCTGAACCATTTGAAATGCACCTATTAGATGTTCCTTTGGTGGGTCAGTACCTACTCATATGGAAGGATTGATATGACAAACTTAAAAAAATTCAAGTCGTGAAATGAATTTTACCTTGATTGACAGGTCGTATAACCTGAAAATAACTGAGTGTAGCATAAGAAATTGTTGTGCAAAGTTTGTATGAAGCAAAGAATGAAAGAAAAGCCGGATAGAAATGGATATTGACAACAAGTGCCTGTCTTCGAATCCTCAACCCTGCGCATCATTTCTATTGCTCATTTCACTCCCTGCCGAATACGGGTTCACTTCATACCCACCATGGCGTAATCTAGCTGAAGGCACTTTCTTCTATCCATGCTTTCTACTACACTTTGCTCCTTTAAGTTCATACTTAGAAATGTTCAGAATCCTTGATTTAACTTTCATTTTTTCTTCTTTTGCTTTTAATATTCATGACCAAATTGCCAAGCGAGAGATACAATGCCAATTGAACTCCTTCTATAACATTTTCAGCTCTACGTGAACAACAGGCATATTTGATGAAATTAGTTTTTGCTGATCAGTAGAAATTTTAGGCTCCCACAGAACTCTCAGTTCCAAATGCACATCTTTGCTTGCAAGTGAGGTAGATACATATAAAGGCCAAAGAGATTCTAATAAGGTTTACTCGAGAACTTTAATAAAGTAAGGCTTGAAATGAAATTTGCGATATATTTTTGAAGTACTCATGCAAATTTCAAATTTTCTGAAGGATTTTGAATGGTCTTTCGATTCTTTTAGATAATCTGTGACTCGTATTATTGATGTCCTTTTTGATTCTGCCTAATGCCCATTCCAGTCTATTTGGATTTTTAGACATTGTTTCCCCACCTGACTGTGCCTTACTCCTCAGCTAGTCCTTTTTCTGCATTCAAGACGAACGCTTCATCCTCTTTCCCATCTGTTCATAGTAGAAAAGTAGAAACAACGGCGCATGTAGACACTTTCTATCCTGTTCTAGCCAACTTAAAGAAAACTTAGATGTAAGACTTTATCCATGAAGCCATTGTCATACTGTTTTAGATTCTCAAGTTTCACGCAAAATTTCATTTTAACTTTATATTATTTATTTGTTTTTTAGCAATTGTGAGTATGCTAGTAAATAACCCACTCAGAATCGGCTCATAAGGCAAAATGACATCTCAAGGTCATAAAG